TATATATATAATCAGGTTTTTATTGCACAACTTACAAAGTTTTTTACAATGTCTTATCATTATTTCACTTATAATTATCTACAAATCATTTTATAATTAGTGTAATATTTTTCGTGTAGAAATAATTATATTATTATAATAAAGAAATTATTGTTTTGAAACACAATTATTTTCTTAATGAAATCGTGATCAACGAATACTGAATTTTTGTTCGTTTGTTAAATAATGTTTTGGAATTATTATTGCGAGAAAAGAAAAATGTATTCTTTTGATTTGTTGTGTGTCAGTAATGAAAAGTGATATGGTAGGTAGGGTTTCTTGTCAAAGTTAGTATGATAACGTTGGCTGGTACAATGCATTAAAAGCGACGAAATACTGGTCGGGTGAGTTAAGTTTGAATTATTACACGAGATAAAGTTTTGCTCCATATTGTAAGTGTACTTACTTTCCTGACGGTTTCCCTTCGTTCTAAGTTAGAAATTTAAACATTGATAACGTTTCGACTGTGTATACTTAAAAGTTATATATATATATTATAGCTGTGTGTGTATGTGTGTGTGTATACGTTTGTGTGCATCGTAGAAGTTTATCTTTTACTTAACGTTGAATTTTCTTCTTCAGATTTTTGATAAATAATAGACACACACACACCCACGAATAGAAAAAGAAAATATTTTTCTCGAGGATATAATTATTTTAAATATTTTCTATAAGACAAAAAGAAATCTTTCAAAATATTATAAACCATTATTTATGTGTCAGTTGTTCGGTTTTTAAAAAACATCTCAGATAGTTTCACATATATTACGAGAATCACCCTATAAATCATTAAATCAAAAATAACGAGTGTTACTATAAATATACGTACTAATAATATTAGATATATGAATTAATTCGGTGTATTAAAAAATAGAAAAATTATAGTATAGTATTCATTTACAAATTGTAATAATTTCTATTAATTTTTATGACTTACATAGCAACTGTTGCAAATTTCCATGAGGAAAACAAAAAAGATGTTGGATATTAATGGAATGAATTTTAACACTAAATCTATACTATCACGCGTTCTGTAATTTATATTGTATAATATTAATTTCCAAATATAATATAAAATAAAATAAAATAAAATAAAATAAAATAAAATAAAATATATCATTTGTTAATTTTTAATTCGATGTGTGTAAAACTTCATTCAATATAAAAATATGTCTTGTTTTTTTTTTTTTTTAAACCAATCAATTTGACCTTTTACGATATATTAAACGTTGTTTATATAAAAACTACCGAATTAGTTGCTAGACCTAAAAAGAAAGAAGAAAAAAATAAAAATTAATTAGTTTAATATTCAGATTCCAGATCTCGTAACAGAAGAAACAACAGCACCACCACCATTGAGTATGTCACAATTCGAGGATCTCATGGAGGACGACACGAGTTGTCCGGTTCATGGTGGTGATCCTATGTTGTCTTCCCCACATTTACCACCATTGAGTCCACCAGCGGCAGTTGCTTGTCATCATGGTTTACCAGACGAGGATACGTTAGGTAGTTTGACGGCAACCACTTCGAATTCTTCCTCGGACATGGACATAGTCGCGTAGCCAAGAAGAAATGTCAGCCCTTTATCCTTTCGATCTCAAGTTCGTCTTAGTTTCACCATCCTGACAACCATCACCACCACCATCACCAACACCACCAACACCATTACCACCTGCTATTGGTGGTGGTATTGGTGGTGGTGGTCGTCGTTTTCATCGATGAACGAACATTCAAACCCTCCTCCCCCTCCAGCCCCTTCACCACATGGTCCACCACTTTCAGCTTTTTTTCATCCACCACCACATCTTACTCTTACTACTACTACTTCACCATTACTTCGTCCTATTGGTGGTTATCATTCTGATCTTCTTTGTCGAAGTCTTCTTCTTCTTCTTCTTCTTCTTATCGGATTCCAATGTCGTTCCTGTGACGATCAGAGGAAAAATTTTCTACGGAGATACGAGACCAGAAAAAGAAGTAAAAGAAAAATAGGAAGAAGAAGAAGAAGATGATGACGATGATGATGATGATGATGATGATTAATTTCGTCATTGATTCTCTCGAACGATCAAATTATAATACAAAGAAAGAAAGGAAGAAAACAAAAAAGAAAGAAAAAGGAATTAGAAAAATGATTAAACGTTACGAGATAATTAAAGAGGGGTGTTGATTTAACCGAACTACTATATTGATTTTTTTTTTATTTTTTAATCTTCCCTCCACCCCCAAAACACTCCACCAACTTAAAAAGAAGATGAGATCGATTATTCGATGATATATATTTAATTGTTTGATATGAAATTGAAAGAACACGAAACGTAAAACAAAAATTATTTGACTATTGGACTTCCTCGCAGGAACGAGAAGAGGTCTTCCATCACCACCACCATCACCCCTCACCCCTATCAACCACCCAAATTATTTTTGTGCAATGAAAAAGAAAAAAGATATATATATATATATGTAATATATAAAACAATAAAAAAATGTGTGTGCTCGTTAAAAGAAAGTTACCACTAGATTGTTTTTACGAGTATACATACATACATACATGCATGATATATATATGTCATATATATATTTTTTTTATCCTTTCTTGCTTTCATTTCTCTTTTTTTTTCTTTTTTTTTAATTATTTTCTTTTCTCGATAATGGCGGCTGGCCGCTTTATTTGCGTGCAACCATATCGTTTGTTCTTGTTCTTCTTAAATAATATTATTAAAATAATTATTGTTGTTATATATACTGTTGTTTTGTTGTGTTGTATTGTGTCGTACTGTGTGATGACGTCGTCGTTTATAATGACGATATCAATGGAAAAAAAAAAAAACAAAAAAGAAAAAGAAAAAAAAACAGAGATCTACTTTACCGATGGCGTATCAACAGATCTCGATCGAAGAAAAACCTGGTATCGTTTTCTCATTGTTTCATTACCTACGATCGGTAATTTATGAAACATTACGTATATTACGTGTATAATTTTTTTTTTCTTTTTTTTTTCGTTTTCTCAAAAGATCTTTGTTATTAGATTTTAATAAACGCCGATTAAAAAAAAAAAAAAAAGAAAAAAAAAGAAAGAAAGAAAAAAAAAATAATCGTCGATTTAGAGAATCGTATTTTTTGTTTATCGATCTTCTTTTTTTTCTCGTTTTGTTATTATATAAAAGTAGTTTATTTTTGTGGGTGTATTGATAAGAATTATTATTATTATTTGTTGTTGTTGTGTTGTTGTTCTTAAAGATTAACGAGCACTGCAATTACTTTTTGTTAGATAGACGAGATGCACGTATTTTTTTATCTACGATTTATTATAATTTATAAGAAAATATATTTTGAACCGCTCTCATTCTGTAAATTTTATTTTTTTAAATCCTAAAACTCGAGTTTACTTCTAAACGTTGTTTCTATATTTTTCTTTATTTTTTATTAGACAATTATTAACAATTTGTATGAGACAATATTATGCAGATTTTTTCTTCTTTTTCTTTTAATTAATTTTTTTAATCTGGAGAAAAGAAAAGGGATGTATATATATATATATATACTGTGTTTTGATAAAACAGTATCGAACAAGGGAGTTTACTCGTCGAGTTTTCTTAGGATCTGCAACAATAACAATAACACAAGTTAATAATTGTATCACGAATTTCATTGGAATAATAATAATAATAGTTGCCGTATATTTTTATTTTCAAAAATGTATTTAAAATGTAAACGTGATGAAATTTTTATTACGATTTAATAATATTCTTATATATTTGATCTCTATTCGTTTCAAATAATTTACGACAATTATTATTATTATTATTATTATTATTAAATACTTTTCCTTTTTAATAACGATCGAAATTTAATCAACAATCGACAAATTTATGAGAATGTCATTGAAAACCACGTTCATTTTATTCATTCTCTCATTCTCTCTCTCTCTCTCTCACACAACACACATAATTGCATATGAAGGATTACTAATATTTTATGATATTAATTATACGAGACACGAGATCGATATTTGATTTAATTAAAATTGATCGATTAGAATATTAAAAACAAAAAGTTATAATTACGTGAATGCGTGTAAAAATATAATAAGGAAAAATTCAAATTGACTAATATAATTTCGCGTGATAGTTCATAATGATTAACAATACTTTAGAAAATAAAATTCCATAAGAAAATAAAGAGTGAGAGAGATAATATATAGATACTTCAAAAAAGTTAATATGTTATAAACATTTAAAAATGAAAATAATTCATACGTATTAAAATATCGTAAGGGATGAAAATTATGATTGAAAACAATTAGATACATGAGTGGGAGGGAGATCATAGTTTGGGATGATCGAATAATCGAAGTGAAGGAAATTCACGAGATATCCCGTAGAGAAAATGTATATGGGGACCATGAGAGTAACACACATGTGAGAGATTTGATTCTGTCGATTCTGTCATAGTTTACATTAGCTTCTGCCAGGTAAATCACTAACACTATGAAGTTCGTTACGAACTTTGCTAATAGTTATTGTCTTCGTTCGACGTTCAATCCGTGGTGCGCATGCCGAATGAGTTTGGCTTAGGTTAAGAGTGAAGAAGGGTGAAGAAGGGTAAGGAAGGGTAAGGAAGGAAGGAAGGAAGGTAGGAAGGAAGGAAGGATATAGTAGTACAGAATTGAGAGCCTCGATTTCTACGAGGATTTCACTCCCTTTGTGTTCGACGAGCCGTCTAACCTAAATTGCACCACCCCCGCCTTAGGCCAACGGGACTTGTGTCTTTATCTTCCTATGCTTTTGTCGAAACACGGACAGAAACGTCATTTTGTTAAATAATTTATATCTTTTACACTATCGCACATATATTTTATTAAAACATTCATATGTATATATATATTAATGATATTTTATATCAATCATATATATATGTATATGTATATTATTTTTTTTGTATACTAAATAATATACAAAATATGTAACATATTAATATTGAATGAAAT